ACATGTCAATACAACACGGTAACTTAGACCCAAACACAATTAGCGAGCAAATGGGCCCAAAGGCAGAGTATTTTGGGGTTGATAGCGCGTCCTCCTTCAAGCCTTATAAGCCAAACACCTGACACTTTAAGCTGTAGTACAGGAACAACAGTCTCCGTGTCAAATTAAAGGGACATCCTCCGCTCACCTGCTCCCTCAATACGCTCCGCAATTAGATAACCAGCTTAGAAACGCTGCTCTCCTCGTTTAATCTCCAAAGCTTTCATTAGCATCTTTAAAGTAGCATTCTGGTTCACCAAAAGAAAAAAAAAGCGTGTCTCCTTAAAGTGCTGAGAGCTAGAGAGGCTGATAATTTGGCCGCATTTTGTTTTTTACACGCTTACCTTTCTAACTCTTTTCTTGACGATTGATTCCACTGCAAACACTTGCTCTCCGATCGCTGACAGCTCCATCTCTTCGCACGCCGCCGTCCGCTGGCTTTTAACTGTCAAAGTAACGTCCCTCTCCCCGACAAACTAAGCTAACGTTAACTGCGTATGACAGCCCTCCCTCGGATACGTCTTCTTCCACGCGTGTCTCCTTCGGCTGCCTCGTTTTCCTGAAAGTTTAAAGGCCCATTTATCCAGAGCGACTTCCTTTTGCTGGCTCTTTCCATGCGTCCAGTGACTTTACAAAATCTGCGACACATCTGCACACCGCTTCGCGCGCGCCCGCTCTGGCCCAAAGCGCGTTTCCGGCGCGCGCCACCAGCTTCCCCATCATCCTTATTATGCAGCGTGTATACGGATACCAAAGACGGTGATAGTACTTTCCTCCTCTGCTTCACTTAAAGCAGCAGCACCGTAGTATAAACAGTCATTCTTTTATTATAATATTTATGATATAATATCGTTATTACATGTATGGAAGCTGCTCATTTTTAAGTATGCACTTAAAGTAAGCCAGCTTTCAAAGGGTTAGTACCTGAGGTGTAGAGGAATAAACGAACATTAGCTTGGATTTCTTGAGTCTGTACTTTTATTGTGACATATCTGATCACAGAATTATGACGTTGATCTTGGTGAGAGGGTCTTTTTAGTGTTTGGTGGAACAACTCAGGTGTCTAACCTGTAAATAGGGGGCCCAACCAAACTTTGCTTTTATGCAGGTCTGGGCTTGTAAAGCAAATGTTTAATGTTTAACTGTAAACCTTCATGTTCTTCATGTTGGAGAGGAGGTAGGGATACAGCTGTCAGATGCAGTTATCATTTTTTTAAACAACATTATTAGTGCATCTCAGAAAATTAGAATATTGTAAAAATGTTTGTTATGTCCCCACATTTAGTTCAAAAAGGCAAGCTTTCATTTATTATATATGCATTATATTTCACCTTACATGTATTGTCTTTTCTCTGTTATAATTTATATTATTGTATTTTTTGACTTACAAAAATCTTTTGAGTTTGATGAGTCTGCTAGTATCAATACTGTGTCTAGTTCAGCACATGCAACCACTGTTCAGTAGCTCAGCGATCTTCCCCAATCATGAGGAAGACTGCTGACTTGACAGTTGTCCAGAGCCACAGAAGGTCATTGCTGCATAGATTGTCTGTCGGAAAAAGTGGACAAGCAAAAAGGATGACCAGTCTTCAGATGATTGTGCGTTAGAAGAGCTTTGCAATCAGTGGACTGTAGCTGGTGTTAGTGCATTAGGAGGCACCACAAGCAGACATCTTTAGGAATAGTGGGGAACAGTCACAAACTAATTTTTTGCACTTCATTTTGAAATTAAGGCCGTAGAGCACACGAGTCAGATACAACTCACTTTGATCTTAGGTGCGATGGCGCAGTGACATTACAGGATAAATGTGCAAAATTACAGAAAGAGTTTGGGTAGTTTATTGGCCAGGCTGTCCTGTTTTTTTTTTTTTAATCATTAATTTACAGAAATGTTTCTTCTGTGAATTATTTTACTGTGGACTCACAGAAAAATAAATAAATAAATGAAAAATAAAAAACTTACATGATTTAATTTAATAATTTGGTGTAGTATTAATGGTATTTATTTTGGGCGGTGCTTAGGTCTTTACCAATAGGAAAAGCTTTCAAACTAAAAGTTCAAAAACTATCCTCCACTTAATGTTTTCCAAAGTCTTTGCTGGGCTGATCCTGCTCCCTGGGCCTTATAGTTGTTTGGAGGAAGAGTGGGAGAGGCACAGAATCCAGTGGGAAGTTTCCACGGTCTGTGATGATGCTGATGTTGTTGGTGGCTGGCCCACTGTGTGTTATGAAGTCCAAAGTCAACACAATCGTCTTCATGGTTCCATCTGCTGACATGCTTTATGGAAACACAGATCTCCTTTTCCAGTGGGACTTAGCATCTACCTCCAGTGCCAGAACTGCTACCGAATGTTGAACACCTTATTGTGTTTCATTGGCCAACCAGCTCCTGACCTGAACCCTGTAGAGAATTCATCTACAGGGTCAAAGCCACCTGGGCTTCAATAACACCTCAGCAGAGCCACGATGCACTAATGCAGCAGTTCTTGGTAAAGGAGTCCAAACAAAAAACCGAGTAGAAGTGAACAAACTTTTCAAGAGAAAAATAGTCTGAAAAACTGGATTTCTGATTTTCATGAGCTTACATGAAGATCATCAAGTTGGGGGGGAAAAAAGATTTGAAATATTTCACTTGAAGTATGACGAATATATAAGGTATGAAGGCTTACATTCTCTGACGCACCACAATTTCCCTGTGAAATGAACAAATGTTCTAAAGGGCAACATGTCATTGTAAAAGTGAGACATACTTTCCACACACTTACTGAGGCTCAGAATAGCAACATTATAATCTACATGTAACCCAACAATGACCCTTTGAAAGCAAATAGACACCCATTTAATACACCCACACACCAGCTTATACATAAAGTGCCAATATAAGCATTTTATTTCTATTGAAAAGAAAATTACAGTGACAATCAGGGTCCTTTAATAGGAAGGGCTAAATGGATTGTCATGGCAAAAAAAAAGAAGAAAAAGGCAAATGCTGAGTGCAAATGTGCCACACTAGTCACGACGTGATTGGGCTGAAAACTCTCCACAAATTACTGACGATTGCTCGGCTTGGATATAACGAGGCGGTGATGGCCAACAGCCTGCGCTGGAGTCACTCTAAAATAAGACATGCACCATTAAAATAAAGTAATCTTTTTTTCCTATAAAAGTCATTTCAAACGTTTGAATAGAACATAAAGTCCTTGGCGGCAAAACTGAAAATATCATTACAGATTCGTTTCTTTGCTTACTGGATTTCTCGTCGGTGCTTTGGAATTAACCTCCTGAAGTGGCGCCAAACTGCACAGCCCCCCCCGTCAATATTTCAGAGCAACGTATATCTATATGTTTCTTTCAATGTAAACAAGTTAAGGCCAATATTGTCGTCAACAGACAATACATTTATAGTAGCAAACAGTTTTAACAGTTGATAAATACGAAAAGCTACAACAGCAGAATCTCTCATTAGGCTCATTTCACTACACTTTCCCACAGCACGCGTAAAGGCTGGAAATTTGGGACACTTTCCGACTTACACTTTCTTTACACCTGACACCTCCTAAAGATCTTCAAGCTTTTTTTTTTTTAAGTTTCATTTCCCCTAAGCCACCAACAAAATCTTCCACAGATTGAAACTTCACGCAACAGAAGCAGCTGCGTAAGACTTGGTGGGACAGTCGTTGACATTCTCTCAGAGCTGTATTTTGGCAGGATATTTATGAGAGGATACAGAGAAGGAGAATCTCTGCATAGGCTGAGCTCCAGTGCTACTGAGGACTGCTGTGGTGGGGACACTCGCAAGCCAAAGTAAGAGGTAGGGTGGGGGCTACAGTGGGTTGATAACTGTTGTGTCATCTGCGTGAAAGATCACTTTGAAGACGCTTAACAAATGTTGGTGGCTCTGAGTAGAAGTCGGTGATGGAGGGAAACAAAATCATTTCCTCATATGCATGATCTCTCGTTAACTGGCGTACAGAGCCCAACTGGTATCTGACTTAACTGATATTTTTAGACGACACTCACCTATTACAGATATCTCAGTATCAGTATATAAATGCCATCTGATATGTGCAGTAACCTTTGTTAGAAAGGGATGTGTCGGGCAATTACGGCGACATTACAGAGTTTTACACACTCCCATTCTTTTGCCTTTAATACAATGCCATATTGCACCTCAGCAGATCTGAATTAACAACAAAAGCAATTCCTGCTCTAATTTGACACATGTATTTATATGCTGTATATGTATATGTAGAATACATATACATAAAAAAGCAACCCATCAGGAACAAATCGGCCTCTACAAAATATGGTGAAGTTTTTTCATTTTGTAATATGGAACAGGCTTTGCTGGTACACTTTTATCTATCCTTTAGACTTACATTTGAAATGTCACACTAAATTGATTATTATATGTAAAAGAATCCTGCTAAAGGTAAACACCACCTTTTCGGATATGCAAACTTAACTCTGTTGCAGTGATACTCTAACTTTGGGAGCTTATATAAATGTGATTTGGTTTTTTTTTTTAGGGAAAATGGACAAACTGAAGGTTGATGACTCTTGTGCTGACCAGTGTTTAAGCTAAATTAAAGCTGGACCCATTATGATTAATGATTGATTTAAAAGGAAAAAACAGTCATGGGGCATTGGCTTCTTAATCAAGGCATGCTATAAGAAGTTTGAGACTTCAGAAAAACTGGATAGGTGATGATGGTATGTCTTGCTTGACTGAAAATTAGGCGAACATCCACTAGAGGGTCTACTTGGCCAGGGTGCTGTTGCATTGCTTTGTTGCCATATAAAAGTGTTGTGTTGGCAGAGCCTCCGCAGCAAAGGCTCTGTCTGTGCCAGAAATGTTTGGGAGGTGTTGAAGTATACAAAGTTGGCAACGTGATCACTCACCGATTCTTACCAGTGACGTGAAAAAGACAGAGATGGAGTCACGTTGAGGCAACGAAGGGCACGCTTTGGTGAAAGTGATACGGACAAAGAGAAAGAGAGCTTTACAACACGAAGGGAAGGACACAAACACAAAGACACATCAGTGAACGTCATGACAGAAGCGGGGAGGATCACTGAAGGAGACAGGCACATGAACATAGCATTTTTCATAAAGCCTGAACTCGAATGACTTTGGAAACTAGAAAAGTAAAAAGGGAAAAAAACAAAAGCAAAAGATCAAAACTGACATTGAAAATATGCATCAATATAAAAAAAATCCACAAGAATAGCAGAAACAGGATAACACTTCAGAAGTCTTAGCTGTGTCGTGAGAAAGAGCTGTGATTCTTTGATTCTCCCTGTATGTAAAGTGTTTGCTTCCTTCATTGCATTGTATCTCGCCAGATAATTGTCCAGCAATGGCTGTGTAAACAAAACCTCCAAAAAAGGTGTGTGTGTGTGTGTGTAGTAGATATATATCTGCAAGTGTGCATCAAAGGGGTTTGGCTGAGCACAACAATGCTAGTTCCTCTTCAGTTTATTCTGCGATTGGACTGCTGGCCCAGTTAGAGCTGTGGTAGGCTGGTTAAACCCTTAGCCATCAGATCGCCATGTCTGGTGCGCCTCCACTTCCTCTGAGACGACTAGCAGGAGTTCACAGTTCTTCCCTCGTAGCTGCTGGTGGAGAAACTTCCTGAGAATGTGATAAAAATCAAACAAAGAATTACATTTTTTAAAATTAAAGTGAAAGTGATTAAAGTGAAACAACAACAACAACAAAATTAACAAGGTGTACGCTGATGTAAAGCTTCAATGAATTATTTTTTAGCCCAGCAGAACAAGTTGTAAACCACAAACTGGAGATGTAGTGATAGACCAGCATGTTTGGCCCCAACCAGTGACCCGGCAGTCAGCTTCACATACACTACCGTGAAAGGTTTTAGAACACCCCAATTTTTCCAGTTATTTATTGTAATTCAAGTTGTTCAGGTTCAGTGAATAGCTTGAAATGAACTGCCAGAGGTAAAAAGAAAAAAGTAAAGGTTACCCAAAACTAAAGAAATAATGCAATTTTTCTTAAATGAATTATACTAAAAGGCCTTTTTCATGGAACATAAAATGGGTTAACAATTTAAACTGTTCTGCAGCAACGGAGGTTTATCAAGCCTTGAAACCTGGTGTTCCAACCCTCTGTCTACATAAACACTGGAACACACTGGATCCATACCCTCTTGAGCATCGGTTGAACAGTATTGCGCTGCATAAAATAGTGTGTTGCTACAAAAATGGTGAGAAAAAGGCAATTAATAATGGAAGATGTCTGGCGCACCCGAAGCCACACCTGAATCAGACGACAAGTTTCTGAGAGTTAACAGCTTGCGTGATAGGCGGCTCAGAGGACAACAGCTTCAAGCACAGCTTAATAGTGGTCGTAGTAAGCAAGTCTCAGTCTGAACTGTGATGAGGAGACTTTGAGCGGACAAGTTGCAGCAAGAAAAATATAGTTAAGACGTCAGAATAAGACAAAGAGGTTTGCCTGGCCATGAAACATTGCCAATGGACCACTGAAGACTGGAAGATGGTATTATGGACTGGATCAAAATTTGAAATCATCACACAGGATATTTGTACAGCATCAAGTAGGCGAAAGGACAACTGTCAAACATGGAGGAGGAAGTGTGATGGTCTGGAGCTGTTTTGCTGGACCCAGTGTCGGTGACTTGTACAAAGGGTGTTACCACAGCGCCATGCAGTACCCTCTGGTCAGGGGTTCATCTTACAGCAAGATGATGACCCAAAACATAAGTCCAAGCTATACCAGAGCTACCTCAGGAAAAAAGAACAAGACGGTAAGCTTGAAAACATGGAGTGGCCAGCACAGACTCCAGAC